CCCCCGCCGCACCCCCACCCGCCCCTTGCACAGCTGGGTCCCCCGGCTCCTGCTTCCTCACCCTGTGCCCATTCTCGCAGCCTGAGCTCTTCCCACCTGAGCTCACCACCTGCCCTGGTGTCCGAGGCTGGCATCCCCCCTTCCTCTGAAACCTTTCTTACTCCACCTTCTGGCAACTTCCTAGGCGTATACATGTCACTCGTCTTCGGGGCCCCAGAGCTCGGTGTAATGACTCCCTTGGGGAGGTGCCCCGTGCATTGTTGGACTGAATGAAGGAAGTTGCCAGGTAACATGGAACCTGGCATCTGGGCCATACAGTCTGGATGGACAAGATGCAGATGCAGGCAAGGGTCCTAGTGATCTGCTCCAGCCAGTGTGGTGACAGTGGGGTTCAATCTGTGAACCTGGGGCTCCCCATAAACAGCCTTTCCATGGGCCACCTGATGCAGTCAGCCAGCCACTCTGAGTGGGAGACAGGATGGGGGGCCCTGTGTGGGTTACCCACCTGGCTTTTCCAGAGGTCTTGGGGGCACCAACCAGGTCCTGCCTCCCTCTCTGGGACTGGTAGTTGACATGCACACCCTCCTTTTCTAACGCCTGGAAACTTTCCTTAACTCCAAATCAGCGCTCAGAGGGGCTGAGNCCTTGGGGGCACCAACTGGGTCCTTCCTCTCTCCCTGGGACTGGTAGTTGACATGCACACCCTCCTTTTCTAACGCCTGGAAACTTTCCTTAACTCCAAATCAGCGCTCAGAGGGGCTGAGACTTGGAGGCCGGTGGGGCCTCAGGGTGAGATGCAGGTCACGTCTCTGAGCACAGCTCTGGGCACTTTCCTTCCCTTTGGTGGGGGACGCTCGGAACCTGCTCTCCGCCCCTCGTGGAGTCAGNAGACGCTCGGAACCTGCTCTCCGCTCCTCGTGGAGTCAGTCAAAGGAGAAGTCGGGTGCTGAGTGGCTGTTCGAATGGAAGAAACAGCATTTTAGGAGGAAAAGTAATGAATATTTTCTTCTTTGGTCTTGGTTCCTGGCTCATTGAAATTGCCTTTGTAGCTCTGAACTGCTTCAGCTTCCACGAGTTCAGTTTTATTCCTTTTGTTATTTTTCACTGGACAGGCGAGTCAGAAAGGCAGGGAAGCTTAGACTAATTCCTTTACACAAAAGGGTTCTTTTAATCCCCTACCAGGCTGGGTTGGCTCCCTGACTCTCCCGGAACACACTCAAAATCATTTCCTCCCTGCGCTGGAGGTTCCCCGGTTCCCCCGCCATCTCTCCTCCATTCACTCATGTTGAAAACCCTCTTCTGGGTCCAGGCACTGCTTTCTAAGAGNTCCTCCATTCACTCGTGTTGAAAACCCTCTTCTGGGTCCAGGCACTGCTTTCTAAGAGGGCCCGGGTTTCCGGCTGCCATCGTTGTGGCCGATGCCGTGGACAGGAGGTGGGCTTACCGCTTGCCTTGCAGCCGAGCCAGACACGTCGGTCTGCCCCAAGGCCCCCGTCCTCGAAAGAGTTGCCTGGGAGGATCTACAATTAAAATGAGCAACCGGAGAACCCTGCGGAGGAGCCAGACCTGGGGAATTAATTCAGCAGAGGCCCTGCTTGCGACAGGGACGGGGCCGCGCAGCCGAGTGGCACTGTCCCTTCTCATCAGTTTCACCAGCATCGCGTCCGTCTCATTCCGACAGGTTCCCGAGAGGTTCACACTGATCGTTGGCGTGTGTCCCTGACAGGACTTCTGCCTGAATGAAGTGGAAATGGGGTGTGGTTTGCACCAGCTGGGTGGCTCTGTTTCCTCCAGGAGAGAGGGACAGGTCCCCGGTCCCCTCGCAGGGGAAAGCTGAGCACAGAGCTGGGTTATGCTCCAGAGTCCACACTGCAGGGTTCTGCCAGAACCAGAGGAAGGAGCTGAACCTCTGGAGTTCAGAGTCCTCCTTAACTACTCTGACTTCATGGGCTGAGAGATTATTTTAATTCCGCCTCAGGAAAGACTGGAAAGGTGAATGATCGCCCTTTGATTTGTCCGTTTTCCCCGCCTGGGACGCAGGATTAGGACCTCCTGGGAAAACTAGACCAGATGCTGGCCACAGCCGGAGGTTTGGACAGACCTCGTTTCTTCTCCCCTTTGGAACTGTCAGCTGAGAAGCGGTGACTCCGGCCACAGTCACAGGCCCTCATTTGCTTGTATCTTTGGGCCGACCACTTAAACTGCCACCTCACAGCAGCTTTAAATTACCCTCCACTGAGGAGACAACGGAGGGCCCTCCAGGTTCAGAGCGTACATTCTGAATATTAGGTGTGCGCTCTGGTCACCACGCAGGGTAAGCTGTGTCCCGTGTCCCCACCCCGGCTGCAGGCCCCAGCTTGGCTGCCAGGCGGCTGCCTGAAGCTTGCCGGGTAGTAGGTCATGGATGCCAGAGATACGGTGCTGTTACTATTTCTTGTGTGAGTACATGTGCCAGACGGTGCTAAGTGCTTCATCCACATGATCTCACTTAGACCTCAAAGCAGCCGTGAAAAGCGGCATCATTAGCGCTTCTGTCTCCCCCCCTCCCTCCATCTCCTTCCCTCCATCTCCCTCCTTCCCTGCCTCCTGACACCGACCAGCACTGTCGTCCTTGGCCCCGTGCCGCTGGAGATCCTGCGACCTACTGAGTTCCACTCACACCCCCCCCCCCGTTTGGGG